CCGGAGTGGCTAAGAAGGTCTTTATTAGCTAGAGATTGGTTGGGGATTTGCTTCGGGTGGGGGTGTGGAGTTTAGGACTATTAGGTTAGAGAATGGTTCTGGGATTAAGGATACTGGAGTTTGATCTAGGGGATAACAATTGGAATTTAGTATATTCAAAATCACTTCTTGAGATATGATAGAAAAGTTGAATAGGGCTTTGCCGGGGACGATGGCAGTAAGTAGGTTAAAGTTGTGTTTTGACTTGTTGGGCGCCAACAGTTGGTAATTGAATTGATTTAGCTGTTTGACAACCTTAGATAGTAGTGGGCATAACTTAATCGATACCTTATTGCGTTGAATCAGATCGTTGTAGGAATTAATCAGATTTAGGCTAAGAGAGACAACATCATCAATAGTGTGATCGCGCGGTATATTCATTATACGCAAAATCTGGGTATTCACTGTTTGATTAAGACCAAAGACTGCATAGGATACTAAAACATCAGCGCTTAATAATATTTTGGTAGTTAAGACATTGTCCTTCTCATTAGAAGATTTGGGTTGTAGATATCCATCAAGATTGACGACATAAACCTTCGAGAAGTTGGCAGATTCTGGGACTTGGCGTGTGATGATGGTTAGGTATTTACAAGTTGGGAGAACTTTACCTTTCGCGGTTCTGGCACCTAAACTAACAATAGTGTCCTCTTTGTAGTCTAATTCTAAGCCGAGAGTGAATTGGTCTATCCAGTTGACGTCATCAAGAAAGTCTATCTTGTCCACAATGGGGTAGTATAGACGTATAAGGGATGTTGAAAAATGGGTTACTAGTGGCCAAATGAATCTCTTTATAGCCGTTGTGAGCCCATTAACTCTCAGGTTGATAATGTATCGCGATTTGTCGATCTTCTCAATTTGCTTTCGGAACTGCCACCGTTTTATAGCGTTGTCAAACGATGGCACAGAAGAAGGAATATTTCTACATATCGCTTCGATCCAAATCTCAAAAGGACTGTTCGTAGCACTCAACTCTGGGTTTTCAAACATTGTTAAGAGTTGGGTTAGGACAAACAAACTAGCAGGGGCTCGCATACACCATATCTTGACAGATTTCACATTGAGACTGATTTTACTGATCTTCTTTAGGGCACCTAGTAACTCTAGCAGTTCATTCTCGTCCCATTGAAGGTCCAGGCAAAGTATATCGTCATGTTTCGGTGCAGTGATAGATAGCTCATACGCTCTGATATTATTAACTTCGTTGGCATCAAACAATTTACAAACAGGGGAAGGCCATTTGTCTAATGATCTTCTTAGCAACTGATCAAGAAGCCTTCCTTGCTCATTGGTTAAATCAATTGTACAACCTTCTTCATCTAACCCAAGATTAATATATTTGTAATCACAAGAGAATAGGTCATATTGAATGTCATCTGATTCCTTATCGCAAACTGTAAGATAACTTACTTGGGAGTTATTTAATTGATCCAGTATGCTGAATAGTTGTGATCTTATGGACTTAAGATAAGTTACTTTTAGGGCCCTCTTTTCTTTATGTTTCTTCTGTTGGGCCTGCGTTTTAGAGATCGCCCAGTGTGATTTGCTAATGTTGCCGGGTTTCTTATCTCTGTCTAATTCCTGTATTTTTGTACTTAGAGTGTCTATAACTGCGCCTACACTAGCTACTAGTCCACACACATCTTTAGATGTTCTGTTTCCTACATTTTCTTCCAATTCTTTGGCTAGTTCGAGTATTGTTGTATGGTCTTCCTTTTCCAGGAATTGGTTTAGTTCTGCTTCTTCTTCCTCGGCTTCGTTGTATCGCTCGTATAATGCATTGGAATCATAGTGTTTGGCTAACTCAATGACCTTGATTTCAATCTTGGCTATTTTTTCTTCTATCTCTATCTCTGTTGCTGTTCGTCTGAGTTTGTTTGTCTGCAGTTGTGTTTCTAGAGTGCTACGATCAAACTTAATATCGTTCAATTCTCTCACTTGAGCTATTACATCCTCTATTTTACCAGACCTTATGACACGTATATATTTACCATCAAGACAGCCATTTATGTAGCCTAATAGCTTCCGGGCTATTATCGCGGCACTTTTCTGTATTAGCACTTCTCTAACCACTAGAGATGGCGAGCGATCTATTATACGTTCGTACTCCTTTATAACTGGGTCGAAATAATCGTGGCTAGATTGGTTTAAGTTCTGGCTCATACGCCCTTCTACTTCTACCAATTGATCAAGGTATTGGCGTATGCTTTGGATCTTGCTTGCGAATATTCGCTTCTCTTGGATTATATGCAAGTTAAGCAAAGGTACAATCATATCTACTATTCTATTAGCTTGTTGTATCGCGTGAGCCTCCTCATACACATAATCATCTTCAGAATCACTACTTGCACTACACCAAACACAACACAATACAATAACCAAGCAAACCACTCGATAAACCTGCAAAGAGTATTCATTTAACCTTCTGTTCATTTTA